TCCCGTACAGGCCTGAAATTTTTTTCAGGTCTGATTTTCACTATTGCTCAAATAGTGCTTTACTGCGAAGGATCGTTCTCATATACGTAGTTCTCTAAAGTACAAATATCGCGAGATATTTGTACTCGTTTTGGGCATTATTTGTATTCTACGAAGCACAGTTGGATAATAATCGAGGAATATTTGGTTGCCATCTTTAGGGAAACAAGCGAAAAAATGTATCAATCTTTCAAATAGTTTGAATTTCAAAATGCCGTGAGTTCTTAGTCTCTTAAGCTCCTAATAAAATGATATAGGTTTGAAAACCAAAAATGCATAGCTTTGAATTTCTCTGACGGAGAGGTATGATGATGATCAAAACAATGCAGTAAATGGTTTGAACCCGTGGGTAACATTTGAATGTGTAGTGCGATCGTCTGTGCGAGTGTGGTTCTGAGAAGTGTAACGTTATTGTCACGCAATCGCTTGTTGTCATGTGACTCGAGTTAGCCAATCAAGTTAGTCTTACCTCGTGCTAGGATTCGCTTGCACTGTAAGTTCTGCGTTCTATTAAGCGTCGAGATTCCTACTACCCTGTGCTAGTTTATTTCACTGGAATCCCAACAAGAAGGACTGTTGTCTGTAGTGGTGACTGACGTTTCGACAACCTGTGCGGAGGTCATTATCGAAACAATGTTGATCAACGAATGGATATAACAAGCAAGAACTGAAAATCTTATATCTTTGTAACTTTGCTTACTACTATAGTCTCTTTAAAACCCTGAATAACAATAGAGATGTGTGCCAAAGGAATTGTGGCAGAGTATATGCGTGTAGTTTAAAGGTTCTTTTGTGGAGTTACTCTGGCCGTGAGAGCAACTTCAAAGGAGGGGGCTACCTGTGCAGGAACAGCAGCAAAGGCTCTTGGAGGAGAATGCTGGCACGAAAACAGTGGACAAGACAGGTGCTGGATCTGCTGGCGGGGCAAGTGCAGAAGCAGCTGGGAAGCCAGGTGTAAAAGTCAAGTTTGTTTATTAACCTATATACCTCAGTTTCAACAAAAAAAAAAATTAATAAACTATATACCATAACCTTGCACGTTATAACTTACAAATACGAGCAATAGCCGTCTGCATTAAAGATCTTTTTGTTAAGAGTCCAGTTCTTAAACCGTATTATTTAGTTCCATATCTTCAGAGGCGGATACAATCAAATAGGGCAAAGAGGTAAGAGTGAAATCGTTGGCGAAAGGAAAAGCTTTGTTACGCAACGCATAACGATTGCAAGATACTGCAAGATACTAAAGACACATGAAAAAACAAGGATAATGAAGGCATACTACCAGTAGTTCCCTCGCCGGGTTTCACTCCCCCCATTCAATGATCTTGTCAAATGCGTTAATAAGGGCAGAAGATTGGTAGTTTTGTACATTTATCATAGTTACGAAAGAACAACAACAGAACGCTGCCTATTTCGCGCCTCCCTGCATCACTGCAATGAGAAATATTGTAATGAGAAATTATGTCTTCGTCACTCATGGGAGTTAATTGAAAGGATCAAGGTATTTGTTCTATGAATCTAGGCCCCAATTCCTCATTATCTCGATAGGCTCTTGTTCCTCATGCATTGGAATGCGATCATTAGACAGTTCTCTCCTGAAATTAAGCGGAGATGCAACAGACCTCAGACTGAATTTAATTACTCTGTGTTTATTTTATTACGTCCTCTCTACTGCATACAACGAATTAAAACAGAACATCCTTATCATTATTCTAGGGAATTTAAAAGAGGAGAGGTCGCGCAAAAGAGCGAAGTTGTCTAGATGCCGTTAAAGTAGTCGTAACATGTGATTTGCTCACTGAGGTATATCAAAAATGCAAAATTGTAACTTTTCCTTGAAAATCTTAGCGTCAACGTAGAATAATGTAAATTTATTGAAAATAAGTTTGGACTCCTCATTTTTAACGATGATTACTCTTTCAAGGCATCATCGAGTTCGTCTGCCTTTTTTCTCAGAAATTTTGCAGCTTCAGATCCCTTGTTTTTAATGAGATCCCTGATTGTAAAGCCCAGGTCTATGGCATCCCAAACCACAAATGCAACATTGACCCCGATGACGACTTTACCGACAACTTCACCGACCGCCTCAGAGCCAGCTCTAGCCCCTGCTTGGACTACGTCATCAGCCGCTTGTGCTCCAGCCTGACCCGTTGCTCGTACCACATCGTCAACAGATTGCGCAGCCGCCTTTCCTGCCCCTTGTGCACCGCCTTGGGTTGCAGCTTTTGCACCGGCTTGACTCGCTGCCAGTGCAAATTCCACTACCTTTTGTGCTACTTGGTCTACCATTTTAGTAGGTGTTCCCGAGGAGAAAAACACAAGCTCACGAAGAATCTTCATGACCACAGGGCTTCCCAATTTGAGGGTTATCGCAAGGTAATAAATATAGATAAGCCTTACTCTTTCTTTCGCTATCAAAACTGTTTGGACGATCCTGTTTACCTCATTTACACTCTCTATGGTCTCATCCAAGTGTTTCTCGGCCTTTTTTATTACAGCAGAATTTATCAAATCTTCAACGATGGCTGTCCCAAGGTTTGTAGTGGCTCCAGCGCCTCCAAGACACAATCCTGCTATGAACAAAGGAGTAGCAGCCCCAGCTGTCAGTGTCGCTGCAATTCCTCCACCGATTGAGAGAATCCCTCCCACTATTCCAACGCTGGTTCCAACCGCATGTGCTGTCTTGCAGTCCCTCCACACGTCATCTAGTTTCTTAGCTGCTGCACGAAGACTCTCAGCAGTCTTTTTCGCGTTAGTATTCATCTTCTCTGTTTTTTCTTGAAGCACTTTAAAATCTCTTTAATCTTGCTGCTTTTCTTCTTCGGGCAAGAGGTTGATCTTGCTAATGATTTCCTCTAGGTCACGTTCCATTCTTTGGCGTTCTCTCTACAATTTAGCATTGAAATAACTATTTATGATCAGATGAATACCACGTACATAGATAATTACATGTTAAACGCCCCAAAGCGAATGTATAATTGATATATTTGCCAGATAGTACAGCCAAGACGTCCAAAGGAGAACATTTTTTTTCTTGACTGTCAGAGTTTATTAACCGGGCTCTCCCCCCCCCCCCCCCCCCCCCCAAAAAAAAAAACAACAACAACAACATAACAAAACAAAACAAAACAAATCAAAACAAAATACTTCTTCGTGAGCTATCAGGCTGGTTTTCAGGTTGCAATTGTTTGGAGGGCAGTTGAAAGCCGTTCTTTAATCATACTAATTTACCTGGTTTACGACGGAGCAGTCAAGGGGTTCGTTTCTGTCCATTTTGCCAGTAGTACTGATCCCTCTCAATAGTGCAGTTAGACCTAAAAAGAAGAGGTTAAAAGGGTCGGGCGACTGTGTTATATACTGAGAATAGTGGTTACGTTATCTATTTAGTAAAGAGATCAGGGAGAGTACAAATGGACTTGAATTCTTTTCCGAATTATGAGGTGTTGATGAACGGCTTACTTCCTTGTGGATATCTGTCCTTGGACATGGCCTGTCGCTCGAAGCCCTCTCCCTTCGCTCATCGGAACATGCAATGTCATATTTCCGCACCAAAAGGAGGCTATTGTTTATTCAAAATAGCGTGAGGTGCTTACAATTAAAATCTGGTGAATATTTAAAGATTCCATGCCAGTATTTAATATCTAGCACAGGTCATTAAAGTCACTAATGGCAGTCACTCTTACTGTATGAAAATTCTGGAACTTCTCGAAGGGTTGATGGTTGATACTTTAATTTCCTCGTTTCCATGTGTGTACCACCGAGATAAGTAGCTCAACATGTAAAGTCAGAAGTATTACCCCAATATCTATAATGCTCACGACCACGATTAGGCGACATGTTTACAATTGGCCACTGACCGTAATTTGAAATAAGGAAGAGACTCCGAGATTCGGAAACACTTGGCTAATCTTATGGTGAATTTGGCTCAGCTTAACTCAACTTCTTCGACGAAGAATGCTGCTGCGGGCTTGATGAGGTATCTGGCTAATCTCTGTTTAGGGAAGAAAATGTCTTCCTTGGCGCGAATATTCAGGTTACCGAGAGATCACGTTTCGCGCGCGAAAAAAATTCTCTATTAGTCAAATCAAATGTTATAAAGGAAGAAAAGTAAGAAAAAGATCATGTTAATCAAATTGGTTCGTTTAGAGTTTGTTGTTCAGGCTAAAAGTATAAGCACGTCCAGTAACTGTGAAGAGAAAAGCAAAAGTAATAAAATTTACAAGGATTCTTCGGTTGGTGGAGCATACTGAGTTGTTTAGGTCGTCCTCTGTTCGCTAGCCGCACCCGCTTACTCATAGCACGTATTATAAAGGTAGTTAAAATAAAACGAGCGAGAATTTTGGGAGTCAGCAAAAGGATGTGAAAGTATTGAGCGTTTATGGGCAATTTCAGTTAACGACGGAATTAATATTGTTAAATGAGTAAAATCTGAGTAAACATCGGCTTATAAGCTATAAGCATATGTTTTGAGGATCAATGGCACCCATAGATCACAAAATTCATCAGTAGTTCATGTAATTTCACATGCGTCACATTGACGTTAGGAGTTTGGCTTAATATGCTTCGCTTGATATCTAACGTATTTTCGGACAATTTTTATCGCGTGGTTGAGAAATTAAGTTTCACAGAACGCTGTTAAAAGTATGTTGAATATTACAGAATTCGCGGAATATTTGATGTAACGTTTGCACTTAACTCAGTTATGCGTCGCCCTGTTATGCTGTATTTTTATTGCTACTTAGGGCCTGATTACATGAGCCGGGCTGGCCCGGTTAGCCGGGCTGATTTCTTTTGTTTTCTTTTGTTTTCACGCTTTGGCGAACACGAAAACAAAAGAAATCAGCCCGGCTAACCGGGCCAGCCCGGCTCATGTAATCAGGCCCTAAGAGTGATATGAAAAAAATCAATATTCGCTTTGGCGAAGAAGTTAGAAATTCGAAAATTATTTTAAAAGTTATAACACAGGCCAATGACTTATCAATAGCAAAGGCACATGACGATTTCCACGAACTGGAGATTGGCAGATACATGTGGTTGAGGTGTTTCTGAGAATTCTTGTTTAATTTGTACTAATACTTGGAAAGTGACATATTTTTCCATTTTCTTTCAAAACACACTTTACTTTCTGCTCTTAGAAGGGAATTCTGCATCTGCGAGTTTATGAAGTGTTTTCTAAATAACAGATCTTTCATTTTCTCAACGGTACAAGGAATTAGGCTTCGCAGCGTTTCAAAGTCGTATATTGATGAAGACATTTTTAATTCATTATTTCGCCATGGGGCGACGTTGCCGCGAAAACAACTTGAATAATATGATTCATTTTCGACCGAAAATGAAAGTTGTATTCCCTGTAGCCTGCAGTTTTTGTCGATGTCACGTCTAGAAAATTTCGAACTTGCGCTCGATTGAAGAGACTCGAGGAACCGATAGAGCGAGCGAGGTTCGGGCTCATCCTCGGTGTAAAAACCTGTGAAGCTCACGAGTGACGTAAAACAAAGACAACAAAACATTATAAACAATAGCGTACAGCAAAACAATACCTCATGAAACAAAGAAAACCTCGTGTCAGGTTTTTACACCGAGGATGACCCTCTAAAAGGCATGCATAAATGATAAGCTAACACAAAAATTCGCGCGTGGAATCCTACATTCCCTACATTTTCACTTTCGACCGGACTCGGCATCTTGTGTTTTTTTTCTTTCGCGAAAAAGCAGGACAAGATGGCCGTATGATTCCACTGTTACAGAAACATGACTCTCTTATGTAAACAAGAAGCGATATGGAAAGTCCTTGATTTCGTCTGTGATCAAATGAAAGCGCTAATTCCCTGTTGAATACGGAACTGAGATTAGATTATTATCGCTACTTCCGATTCGACAGGCAAGTGCTCACTGAAGAAGGTTCAGAATCGAAAGGTTAATAGCGGTCTTGAGACAGGTAGCAGAGCATTAAGAAATCGCGGAACGAAGACCAAAACACATGATGACCAGGCATTAAATTTTACAAGAACAAAAAATATGGTAGACATAAATTCCGTGAGCATGTAAGTTGGACTTCAAAATTTCTTTCACCCGCGGATCGAGACAGATGACAGTCTTTTCAGTTTAACCTGATTCTAGGAAACACAACTACCGGAGATTACATAAATTATACGAAATTTTGTCTTTTGTCAATTAACCACTGTTTTTGTCAGTGACGGCGAGTAACGTAACAAATAGATTAATTCTAAGTGCAGTAAGGAAAAAAGAAAACCTTTGACAAACCTTTAGATAAACTGGAACTTTCCCACCTCAGTTTTATCGGTTACCACAGCCACGCGCTTGAAGAAATTCACTCGACTAGTTTCCAGTGAAATCACAGAATCAAATGCGCGTGAGCATTTCACAAGGGAACCAATCACGTCTCTTGTATCAGATGGTTGTTTACACGGAGAAATCCAATCGTTTACTCACTTCGCTTAGACTAGTGAAACAGAGGACTGATTACAAAGTTAGTTTGCTTTCATTATTATTCATGCCCAAGACACAAACCATTTTTTCTTTGTCTGCCCTGCCGTTTTCAAGGGGAGAGTAGCTCTATCACGCAGGTGAAAGGTAATTAGCGAAAAACAATTTCATTCCGCACGCACTCACCCGAATGTCATTATTTATTTATCAGCTTGTTTCAAGTGTTTTCTTTTTTGCCTTCCATTAGTTGAAACAAGTCAATAATACTTTTAGGGTGCAGTACTGCAGTTCTGCAGTTTTTCTGAAATTTTGAAAAAGCTTGCCTTAGAGTTGCCTTAAGGAGACATCCATGTTTTTTCAAAACCTAAATATAAATGAATATGTTAAAAACAACAACAACAACAAACAAACAAAGTAAAGTTTCCGGAAGTTGGTTAGTGTCGGCGTAAAGGACCCTCTCTCAGTAACAAAGGTGTGATCTTGTCTACTAGATGCTCGAAGTGTGAGTGTTTTATTTCTAGCTGTAAGAGCGAGAACTGTAAGTAAGGAAAAATTTATATCAAATAAAGGAAACAAGCACAAGTAAGCAAGTGTTGAATTATATTCGTTGTCTCTCCAAGTTTCGAGAAAGACCTCCGCTTAGTAAACCTTGCTACAAGAAACTGTCTTAAAATGGGTTTGTTAAGACGCTTCGAATAGTTCAATCGCGTGAATACTTTTTTTCAACTAGTCACACTCTTCCGAGAAAAAGCTCACCTCAAAAAAAAAAAGAAAGCGTTGGTTAACGGGCGCTGTTTGGTGATTTTCTACGTGAATTTGAAGAGCCGTAACATTTGCTTCGTGTAAAGTTTGGTTCTCGGTTTACGGATAACTAGATACCAACAGAGAGAAGTTTATCTTTACTCAAAACCTCCTTGATGAGTTAACGGAGGGTTTGGCTCGTTGTCTCATTTTCCTGTTCAACAAAGGATCAAAATAAAACAAAATGCAAAAGTGCCTCAACTTGTCCTTATTACGTTACTCGTCACCAGGTCACGCTACTCCGCTGTTTAACGGAAGTTAGATTTGCGTACACAGAGCTGGTGTACAGCCTCTGAAAGTAGAAAATAACGGTGGGGAATCCCCGTTAGATGAATAAGTAATAAATAGATTTACACCAATCTCAAAGCGTTCCGTGTAAAAATCATCACCTGTCAGGAATTTGATTGGTCTCGTGGTGAAAGACGTTTTTTTTTTCTCATCTCGCGAGACTAGTCGACTTCTCTTACGTGCAACGTGCAGGGATAGGAATCAATTGACCTAAAGGTTTGTCCAAATTTCATACGCTTTTGAACTCTACTGATCTACTCAAATAGAAAATGAACTTCATTTGTATGATAAGACTGTTTTTGACCAATTATGGTCGCGAGCTGTACGAATAAACGGATGCTAAGGTTGGCACTTTCACTTTCGACGCGCTGAGTGGAAATAGCTGTCGGACAGAGATAGGCGTATCGACAATTTTAGTCGTAAGAAGTCCTTGTTTTTAGATTTTTATTGAAAACCTTCATGCTGTAACGATGTATTCTGGTTTCGTGTTATTCTGAGTGTAACGACAAGCCGCTTTAGTCGAAACTGATTCTAACTTCCGCTATGTGCTGCCGAAACGTCGACCATTGCTTCCTAAAAAAGTCCTCCTCAGGATAACCTTCACCTTACGATCAGACCCCACGATCAAAGAAATTTCTGTTGATCGTATTTCATTATCATTTTAAAAATTTTGTTTCTATTTCGATTGAGCTTGGAACGTGACACTATCTTTTTGAGGGAGTGTTATGCGTGACGGGAAAGCTTGTCACGCCCGGACAAATTTTAGGCACTTTCACAACTTTCATTTGTTCTTGGCTGTAGCACCGAGCTGAAACGATTGCCCGAACTTTCCTATAACAAAACTCAGAGGCAAGGTCTACTGGTGTTCTTCCTTAAGAATGCATTCTTCCAGGTGAGTTAAAAGCCTTTCATTACGATATACTACTATTTTAAGACTTGTAATGACAATGATATTCCGCTTCTTTGCATAATTACAAGTTTCTAAGGCCGGCTGACTGCTTGCAACAGTACCTACCAGAATGTTCTGCTGAGAGTTATGTTTTTCTGTTTTTTAAATAACTCAAATTATTTTTTTCTCAGTTCGTGAGCGGGCGGTACTCTACGAATCCTGCAATCTGATTGGTTCCGAGAGCGGGCAGTATTCTCCCCATCCGGCCCGCTCACGGCGGGTGGTATCCGTTTTGCTTGAGTCATTTTACAGAACATCTCAAGCTTCGTTGCAATTTTTCACAAAATATCTCATTTTGCCAGCTGGGCAGAATTTTTGAGCAAAGATCTCGGTCACGACCTTTTGCCGTTAAATGATATTAATTCTTTCTTCTCTCTCTCTCTCAAATCACTTTACTTTTTCGACAAAAATTGATTTCGAAAATTTTTTAGTGCTAAATTTGTTTATAAAAGATTGAAACGCGGCCTAGAAACGATTTCTTATTTAATAATCCTTCACAAAAAGTAACCGAGAAAGTTAAAAGGAAACGTAGTTGCAGTTAACGATTTCGTTAATCAAAGTGACTCAATCGTTAATATCTGAATTCTTCAACTCAATTTGTTCGTTTGTGAAACCCTGATTGAAGTTTTGACTTCTTCTACAAATACACTTTTGCCTATTCTTTGCATTTGGACACCGTAAATTTCACAACAGTAACCGAAGGAATTCGATGAAAAAAAGTCGCATTAAATCCCCTTGTGTCTAGCTGGAAAGAGTCTCATTGACCTCAGCTTTTCGGTGGAAGAAAAACCGATTTACACACACCATTAAAGAAAACAAATAAGCAGACTGACAACTTCAAAGCATACATTTGCATTCACTTACAATTTGACTTTCCGTGACATTTTAAAACGGAACAGAGGTAAATTTTCGAAGATTAATCGTCGTTGGAAAGAAATAATGCTTTTCGTAGGATCTCCGAGTGTTTGTTTTGTTTTTTTTTTTTTTACGAGAAGATCGTCGCATAGTCATTTAACACTTGTATGTTTGTCATACCAGTTCTGTTGTTTATTCAAAAGCGTACGATGTTTTCCTCTTCATTTGACAGGTGTCACACGATGACAGTTACTTATCAAAAAATGTTTCAAAGTTTGCCCGGAAGCCTTTTTAAGTTACCTTGGATAACGTCTGTTTTCTTTAACATCCATTCGCTAACAAATTGTTAAGTTTATGGAGGATTTTCCTGCAATCAAACTCGTAATTGGAGCCCTAAATCATGCGGGTTCTTATGGCAATCATTTTTTCATGTGTTAGAAAAGAACAAAAAATGTTATTGACCACCTAGGTCGGTCCGTATTGGGAAAAACTGTGCCCGAGGTCTTGGATACCGCCCGAGGCTGTAGGCAACATGTACATATTGTCTTCTCGACAGCAGTTGCTCCTTCCGGTCCTTTGCTGCAAAGGGGACCCAGATTACATCGATCTATATTGGACTCGTCATTTACACCCTATGCTTTACATCAGTTCGTGCAATGGATCTTAGTGGCCAAGTCTTCTCCAAAATGGACGTGGTAACTCTTAAATTCATTAATATTTCATGAGAACAGCAACCAATTAATGAGGCATGAACCTAGATACCCAATGAATACTTAGATGAAAATCTTGAGGGTTTTGATCTGCGCTGAAACATGGTTTTGATCTCAGATCAAACACTTGCATTTAAATGAGCATTTTCAATGATTAATACTGAAATTGTTGACAACAATTCCAAAATGACCCGAATATTATTGGATATAAGTAACCTTGATTTCATAAATCAGATACCATAAATTATTCCATAAATGGTCTTCTGTGGACTTCCCCAACTTCTTAGCCACCCCAATCACAAATTTTCTGAGCTAGTAATTAAATCAAGGTTACTGCATCCATTTCTTCAATACTTATAGAAAGCTATGCGACTTTGTGTAAATCATAGTCTTTAATGAGCCCATCTTCGCTCATGGTCACACACCAACTACACTAAAATAATTAATCATGCATGTTAACGTAAAGTTACAGAAAAGGGCTAAATTGCATCGCTGTATAAATGATTCTTTTTTCACTGATTTGGGGTGGACAGTTTTTGTCCATCGATCTGTGCTACAAAGGCTCTTTCTGCTTGCCCTTACCGGAAAACAGTAAGTAATTCCCCGTTATGTACACTCGACTTTTACCTACAGTAAAAGTAAAAGTAACCTACAGTCAGTAACATCTAAGTTATATGTCGTTTTAAGTGAGCGACTGCGATTTACTTAAAAAGATCTGACTTCCTGTTTTGTAGAAAGAAAGAGCAAGAGTGGTTGACGATATCTTAGAGAAAATAAATGTTCTCCCTGAGGATGAGAAGCTGCAGGATAGGAAAGATTGGGGAGAGTTTAAAGAGAAGACTGAAGAGATGAATTCTAATGCGATAAAAACCGCCAAGAGTCTCCGAGCAATAGCTGATAGACTTGATCAGGCGTGGTGGAACTACAAGGCCAAGCATGCCGCTGGAACCGCTGCGTGTGTAGCAGGAGGATTTCTGTCATTAATGAATGAAGGCGCAGTACCCCTAGCTTTCTCAGCTGCTGGAGCTGTAGTAAACATAAGGGCCAGTACCGAAGAAGTTGCCATACGTTTCGCGGAAATCAAGGCGGCCGAAAAGCTCATAAGTGAGACCAGACACAACTACAACGCCTTGAAGAAAATGATTCATAATTGGTCAGTCACGAAAGAAAGAACACGGCTCATTTACATTTATGGCCTTGCCAAAACCCATAAGGTGGCTAACCCTCAGGTTTTGACTATTCTACGTGACTTGGTTTTGTACTCCGTGGGGATGCCTCCAGGGGCAAGTGAAGCGGTAAATTTTCTTGAAACGGCAGCGTTGAATTCGGGTGCAAAAGCTGCTCTTCAAGGTGGTGCTGAAGAAGCAGCAAAGGCAGGAACACAAGCAACTGATGACGTACTTCAAGCCGGCGCAAAAACCTCAACACAGGAGGTATCAAAGAGTGGAGCACAAGCTGCAGATGATCTGGTGGAAGCAGGTTCTAAAACAGTTGGAAAATTCCCAAAGAACTTCGTTGTTTTCGCAAACACTGCCTTTTTAGTGTGGGATGCCATAGACCTGGGCTTCACGATCAACGATCTTGTTATAAACAAAGGATCTGAAGCGGCCAAAGATCTAAGGGAAAAGGCCAAGGAGATTGAAGATGCTTTTAACTTGTAGTATAGGAACAGTTCGAACTGACTCCAACGTTTAAAATTAACAGTTCCTTACAAATGGAAACTTCAATTTTTTTTTCTTTCCATTATATCGAATACACTGATTTTGTAGTTTGACCTATTTTGTTGTATTTTAAAAGAAAAACAAAAAGCTTGGTAACAACTTTATTCGGTGTTATATTTAGATGTCAAGGGAAAAGTGATCAACAGGACGCTTAAATCTCAGACTGATTTTTTATTTTAGGCAGTGTTAGATTGCTGGTTCTAGGATCCCATTTAAGTGGCAAGTATTTGAAGTTAGAAAACAATTGTCTCAAGTGCCTTGTGCTGCAGACCCCACTACCGCTGGAATATCGGGAATATGCCTGAAATTAATTAATTAATTAAAATAACCTAATTTTATGGTAAGTGGTGCGCAGAGTAATGATTATCTTTCGAAGTATTTGTGAAGAGAGTAAAGAGAATAAATCCCATGCAGACAAAAGGCTCAAGACTTTCACCCAGCTTTTGAAGAAATGACAAGCGCATCAACCCTTACTTACGCAAGGTATCAGATCATGATACAGTTATATCCTATGAACACAACATATTTTCTACACCCAAGAGCACATGCAATTGAACCACACTGATACTTTAGGTCTTTAGGTCTTTATTGAATATACAAGTAAAAATAGATACCTATATTTACATGTTTAAATTATTAATTAAAAGTTAAAAAGCGGAAGCATATTTAAAAAACAGTCTATTAATATAACTAGCTTTGAAACGTTCTGTGCTGACACAAGGTAGTAGGCTCGTTTGAGTTCTCAAACGTTTAGAAGATTCTTTAACTTTGGGCAACAAACTGTACAGCGGATGAGTAGGCAGGCAACTAATCCTCTGTGAGATCCTCTGTTTTCTCAAGCAAATCATATATATCTATAGCATAGGATATAAAACTGCGTTTATGACATCTACGATGGCACCGCTGCACAGTATTAAGTTCAGGCACTGAGGCTGCATACACTGGTAAACCATACGAGATTTTAGGTAAAACTAAAGACTGAAACAGATGATCAATTTCCGCTTGGTTATCCTTCCTTCCTTAAGCTCCTTAACACATAGAGGCACTTATTCGCTTCGGAGAGTTTTCGTTTAATGTGCTCAGTAACAAATAGAGATGTAGCGCAACAAGCAACTGTCAAACTGTCTCGAAAAATGATGCAAGTCAAGAACTACCAGCATAACAGAGAAGTTGGTGATAGCATGTAAAACTCACTTAAGGTATTAAAATTTGGAACAGTCAATGATCGAATAGAAACAGTTATCAAAATAACCCATTCGATAAACGGACCGGTTGCAAATATCACCGGGTTGTGCTTCACAGGTCAGAACATTTTTCTCTTCGAGGTTGACATCTGTCGAATTGTTAACCTTCTTTCCAGCTCGGCAACTTTACTTTTCAAGGAGCTGATTTCCTTTTGTGCCTCGGCTTTGGCAAACTGAAGTTTCTGGTAATTCAATAAATTAAAGAAGCAAAGAAACATTTCAGTGTTCAACGCCGTAGTTACTGACTTATGTTCGAGGTGATACAAGCGGAAGAAACAAGGAATGATCGCTCGGTACCCGTATTCCCAGTTCGCCAGTTTTTATCCTCAGTAATACATCTTATCGTCCTACAAAGATCGAAACAGAGCCTGTTCAATGCTCGATTTCTCTACTTGTTAAGCCCCTCACATAGGCGGTAGTCACGCTATCGCGTACGTATATCAGCTATCTCCATGAAATTATTAAGTTCTATTTCTGGTCAAATTTTTCAAGTCTGACTTTAAAAAAAGGTCTCAAAAGTTTCAAAGCCCCTGAAAAAAATAATAGAGAATAAAATTCTGGGACCAAGGAAACATTTAATCCATAAGGATACCTCATGTTATGATTCAAACCGGGTCCTTTCATACAGGCTATCGAAAAGGAGAAACGATCTCAAATGGGTAAGAAAATTGGTTCATTTTTCCTTGGTCGTGGACCTAAAGAACCATGTTATTCGTTTCGTCATGAGCGTAGGCAGGAGAAGAAATATCTGCTTTCTTCTGATCTAAATCTCGCGCCCTTTTATCCTTTTTTGCTAGACAAAAAGCGTTCTGTTTCTTAAATCTGTTACTAACCTTTCGGAAAATGTCAGTGTTAGCATTAAACGATTGACCAGCCTGAGCCTTCGCGTTATTTCTTTCACGTTGCAGTTTTAATACTTTTTCGTCAAACTGTAAAAGTAAATACAGAACACTGAAACGGACAAGATACTTAACAGAACCCTATATATCTATAATAATCGGATATTGTATAAGTAAAATAGATAAGAAGCAACCTAGCGGCTAAATTATGATCTCCTTTCATCAGGGGCCAAGAGAAGGGCGGTCGCAAGATGTACGTGACTCCTTCAGTTGTGAAAAATAAATAAAAAAACAACAACAACAACAACAAAAAACCTCCTTTAAGTACCCTCCTTTTTCCACATTTAATTCACCGTCTCACCTCTAACCGTAGCTTGACTATTTCTGTTTGGTGCGAGTGACTCATACCAGTCAGCTGCTTCTCAAGTTGCTGTATTTGACTTTCTTTCTCGTCTAGGGACTTCTCCATTGTTGTGATTTCCATCCTATCTGATGTCAATGAACGTATTCATATTTGGTCAAGCCAAACGTATCACTGAGTAATAATAATAACCTTTATTTTAAGAGGGTGACACCAATTACTTTCGAAATTATTTATTCTCCCTAGTGGCCCTCTAAAACACCCACCCATCCCACCCCAGGGGAGGACATCCATCACACAGTAATCTCGTGTGTGAGAAATTAACGTCTCCTACCCCAACCCTGCAGGAGACGGGATCTCCATTTATTCGTCCCTATCCGAGAAGACTAGAACATCTAACCATTTCTTGAAGTTATAGAAAGGTAGCAAATTCTTCTCAATTATTTTAAGACCGTGAGTGTTGGTCCGGCCAAGGCTCGAACCCTCGACCTCCCGCACAACAGTCCAGCGCTCTATCCATTGAGCTAACTGGGAGTAAGAGAGCTATTTAATTAAACAATCAAGAGTGATAAGGGTGAAGACCAGTGGTTTTTCTTACTCTTCACATTCTCTCCTTGATATAATCATTGGCAAATCCTACTACATCCTAAACTCGCTCTGATCGTCTATTTTTTCCTATTTTATGTTCATGAAATTGATTAGGAACAAACTGAACGCCAACTTCAACACGAAACCAGTACTGAGTCGGTTTCAATAAACCAAAACATAAAAGAACATGAAATGATGCAACTCTGTAAACGTTTTTATACCATTCATTTCACAAACAACAATTTATCATGTTGTTGTCTCCTTCATCCTGTAAAACTGAATTGAACAACAAACTGAAAAACCTCTTGTCAAGTTGTTGCGTCAAAATATTAACCAAGTCTAAAAGGTTTCCGGCCTTTCAATTCAAGAGATTTAAAAAAAAAATTAAGATCTCAGTGGCTTACTTTGTTGAAGTCCCTCTTGTCTAACCCTTTGAATCTCTTGCTGGTAATTCTTGAGTGCTTCAGAAAGTTCAGTCTTGTGTTGCTGAGGAGTCATCATAGATTACTAGATCATTTTGTTCTAGTCGACGAGCAGTTCGACGGAATTGGACGACTTACTCTAGTGATTGATTAATTGGTCATGTTTTTATTTGAAATCATGCCTTAAAGTTAAGACTCTTGAACTCCTTGGAAAAGTTAGGTATGATGATACACAAGCAAAGTCAATGACATTTAATTTTATTCATAACTAGTGATGCTAACCTGCTCAAGACGGCCTGTTTTTTCTGTAATTGCAGTCAACTGTGACTTTAGTTCGGCGTTCTCCTCTAAAGAAATATAAACTGAATTTAGCAGCAATGGCTTCTGTTTACTGTCACTTTGATAAAGTCAGTTAAAAGTGATAACCAAGGCTTCAAGGTTTAAATCTACCGCTATTTTTTACTGTTTAGGGGTATTTCTTTAACCTAGTGTTGACAAAAGCTCTGAGCTATTCAAACAATTAGAGCAAACTGCACACCAAAAGCGGAAAGCACTCGGAAAGATAAAAAGAACATAACGCAATCCTAGAACTAATCGGAAAAAAAGTCATCTCTAAAAGAGATCATCTTCTAAAACTTTGAGATTACTGATATATGATTACCTTCCTTGTCACACCTTTGTAAAAGGACTTTCTGAAGATTGTCTATCATAGCCTTAAACTTTCCAGCTTCTGTAATAATATAGAACAAACACCCAAATAACAGTCAGTTCTCATAAGTATTTGATACATAACATTATGCTCAGATCATTAAGGACTGATAGGCAACCATGAGAAGGTAATACGTGGGTCAACCCGTAACTAAGAACCTTGTCAGGAGTCTAATCACAGTAATCAGATTTCTCCTCTTGGCGAGGAGGAGTGGGACTAATGATGGTTACTGAATTACCGTAGGATGAATGAAAACCCTCAAAGAATAACTTGCCGAGGCAAGTTATTGTTCCTTAAATATTTTTCCATGCACAAAACGTGACGTTACTGAATCACCTTTAATCCTTTTACCACGATAATCTCTGAAAAAGCCGGATCAAAAAATATCTTTGTTGTGCGCAAAGTAAGCTGGTCTTCTGTCCTGTAGTTTAAGACTTCTAGAGTCTAAGCAAATTTTCACAGGTCATTTGGGTCTTCAGTCGCAGTCGCCCGCTATTTTTCGAGTTTGTTAGAAATAAGCTAAGCAGGGCGATCAACCACACAAGAAGCTAGAAGGATCTAAAAGCACGAACCTTCCATGGACAACTTTTCAGCTTCCTGGCTGGATATAAGCTGCTTCTTAAGAGATCGTATCTCCTTCTTTAAGCCGCTGTTTTCCTGTGCAGTGTTCCTCATTACCTAGAAAAACAAAAGTAGCGAATTTGTTGTTAACTGGGACGCAGCTAGAGGGAGTGGTCCTAAGGTACATGTGCATTCAATTATCATCCCACTACCTCCCCCTGAAAAACCCCTCTTTCTCTTTCACAGGAAAAAGGGGTATCAATATCATCCCATTGCATAACGATGAATTCAAGATGTACCTTGTTTCTTCTCACAATACTCCAAAGCTTTAAAAGGAAGTAGAACTCCCCCGCTTACCTTTTCAAAATACGTATATTCTTGAATTAAGTTGTCTAAATCAACGGCTGGTCTAATAGCGGTCCCGCTGGCGGCCATACTTCCCGCCGATTTGAACTTGTCAGTTACACTATCTAAAACATCTTCGGTTGAAAAATAAAAGGGAAAGGATGAAGTGTTTGTATGAAAATTGATTTAAAAAGGTTTGAAGAGCTAAACAGACATTCTCTCTTGCAAAGCGAGTGATAATACGGTTTTCGACGGCCTAAATTTGTATTCTTACCTGAACAGCATCAGCGAAAACGAAGACGGAAAAAATAATGGAAGTAACTTCAATAATATATCACTTAAGCCTTGAATTCTAGAATTTATCTATAAATTCTTTCGCCGCTAATTACATTAGCCTCAAATTAAATGCGTGCAATGCAATACTGCAAAGCAAACGAAACAAGATGCGACTCTCAAGCGATGATAGAGCAGTCCTTAAATTTTGGCGGGAAATTTCGACGCGAGTGGCACTGCCGATAAGTTTCTCTCGGGGTAGGGGTGAGGTGACCATTGTTTCAGTTTATCGTGCAATATTTCGTCTATTTCGTTTCAATTCTTTACAGTTTGCGATATTCAGCGCAGGAATGAATAACACGATTCAAGTTCAGGAAAAGGAATTAAATTATGAGAGTTACGTAACGATCTTGAACTACTTCGCCTGAAAAGTTCGAGGTAAATCTGTTCTAGTCTTCGCCTTGCTTTACCATCCACGCTCTTTCCTGGGCCCATCGGATCCCTCTCCAGGATTCGCCAACACACCCAGTAATCTTTTGTAACTGCGTTATACGATGGCATCAACACTCTTGAACAAAAAAACAAACCGCAGGACACATAAAAATTACTTGGAATTTATTAAGACCCGTCTCTTTCTTCAAATAGTATTTCCAAGTGAATCACCTCGCGAAACAAATTCTCTTGTTTCTAAAGTTTCTAAATATTTGTACATTGTACAGGTGGAAGAACAACAGGACACGTAGTCCCCTACTAGGTTCAACCACCTAAACCCAACCCACCCATCCCACCCCGGGGAAGGACATCCATCACACAGCAGGGCAAGGCATCAAAACGATTAAAAACTTACATATCTTAAATAACATAACTCAGGCTGAGTAATACTAATGTACCTCCTTTAACTTAGTAAGCAAGGGCCAGCCCCTACTAAATAAGACAAATTACGAAATAATCCATGACAAAGCCACTTGCAGATGTGACTACCAATACAAAGAAACCAATCAAGAAATATTTTTACAAAATAAAGAAAACCTAGTTCTTTGTCTTAATCTCAACAAGCCATAGATTGGAGCGAATCTCGATTGAGTGTAGATAAGCTAGACGAAAGTAAACAAACGGCCGATTATGACACCGAAAAAAAATCTAAGAACCCAAAATAAATCCAAGTAAACTACTCGAAACCCTAGGAAGTACGAGCTTCACTGGCTGAGAGTGCCCATGGTTTTCTGAATCAGTCAACGAGCAATGAAAATTATAAGGTAAAAGTATTTCCCGATCACATTGGACACTCACTTGAAATTTGCTCCAACGGCTAGTTTTTGAACCGTAAATTACGTCAACTATTTGTCTGGATTTCCCGCATATGTTCGCCAATCCCTGTGATCGATCTTAGTAACAAAGGGAACATTATCCCGCATCAACAAAACAGTCAACTTACTGCGAGGACACTTCTAATAATGAAACTAGATTTTTTCATTTCGGCCAGTAAGTTGGAATCTCTCCCACAAAAGTAACCAGTCTTAAATCTCACCACGAGACCTTCAAAACAGCCTTGTGTTTATGGTGTGATAACAACTACATGTTTATACATTGAAATAAAAAAACACTAAATGTTCACAATGACAATAACACGCTTTTCATTTTTTTCCCAAAAATTTCTATTTACAATTTTTTTACGAAAAGAAACTTAAGATGATGGTGTGCTCATGCTGAGAATGAATGTCATAAATAACGAAGATATGGAATTCATAAAAATAAATGTACTTTGAAGATTCACGTTAACCATCCCACTATTCCACTAAAGCTCCTGTCAGTTATGTGCCCCAGGGGCTACGAATTGTACCTTATTTACCTCATGTCTACTAATTTTAAACATGGGAAAAAATCATATATACCAAAGGAGCACAATGCACCTCCCCAAACAGAGTTCAAACCAGAGTCTTAACTATCAAAGTGGATAAACTATATAATACTGTTCGATCCAAATAGAAAATTTCAAGGAAGCAAGTAACGTTCTGTTTTTTTGTCTTGATAATAGCCGGTACACCGCCAATTGTTTCCTTCTTCTTCTTTTTCTGTTTATTTAAAAAAGTACCCAATACCTAAAACATTTATCAAAAACAGTTCATATGACAGTTGTCTCATTAAGTTAAAGTTCCTTTTCTAGATTCTCCCTATGAATCAAAATTCGTTAACGTCTTTTTGCAAGTTCATTCCTGGTTCCATTTCGTCAATGAAAAACTGCTGGGTAAACATTCTCTTGCGTTGAAAACAAACTCCAAAGAATTAGATCTAATTACATAATTGTACAGATCTGCGGTGTTTGATTGGTTGATACCGCACTTTTCGTGCGAGAAAACAAACCAGTCAGAAATGTGTTGGACTCGGTTAGCAGATGCAATTAGCACAAAGTCCAACGAATTGAATTTAAGTTGAAGTCGAGGGATGAAAAAGTTAAGCCTTCGAATTCAAGAAGTCTGCTTCTGCAATCGAAGTTCGGAAACACGCCGACGTCAACCAAGTGGTGACCTCATCACTTTACCCGCAATCCACCACCACTGAACTTATTTTAAGTTCGTTAGCAGGCAAGAGCGATAATCAGTCTCGCACACATTTCCATGAATTCCATCGTGTGATGTGAGCCAGTATGACTCTTGAAACTGTCGGAGTCTTTGAGGCTGTTAAACGAGGAGTTTGCAGACGATTTTCTGGACGACTTTCCCGATAGTGTTCCTTCTGAGTGTTCTGGAGGGTTTTCCGGGGTGGGAATGCTTTTGAAGTCCAGGAGATAACTTTTATGATCGACCTGGTACAACTGAACGGCGATCTTCGTCTAAAGTAAGAATAATGGATATTAAACTAAAGCCTTTCGTGGTTTACAACCTGCATGCCGCTACAATGATCTGGTCATTTTTCTCAAAGTAATGAAAAAAATGTTGATAACAAAGAAAAAAAAATCTGCCACAGCAAAACGAAAAAGCTAAACCCTTTGATCCCTAAGAGTGACCAGCATCTAATTTCTCCTTACAATATCACCCCTGAATCACTCATTGAGGTCAGGAGAACAGAGAAAATGATCACCGACTAAAAACGCTCTTGATTGTTTGACAAATTCTCCTCGTACGTACCACAGGAAATGTATAGAGAACAGTATGGAGAATATGCATACTGATTTCAGGGTGTACAAGGGCTAAGTGGAATTACAGGTACTTACAAATTTTCCAGTAATCCTGTTTCTTCGAAGCACTCTTAAATTAAAGGGGTTTATGATTTTCCACTCCTAAAAGGACAGCAACAGAGGATAGGCGTTATTCATGAAATGCAAAAAATACTACTTGGTAAGGGGGCATATTCCTTCAACACAGAGTTTTAAACAAATACGTCATAAAATCCCTCTCGAAAGAGGTCTGTGTTCCCTCCAAAACACTTTTGTGGACTAGTTGGATTAGTCCTACCCTACTGCAGTAATGCAGTGAAAAATGGTTAGAAGAGTTGGCAATATCCAGAGTGGATGTGATACTTACATAACCTAAAGACATCATGGCGCGGTACACTTCACCCATAATATCATTTGGCTTGCTCTGTGATCGAATGCCTGCATGTGAAAAAAAAAAAATATTTTAACATCTAATTTATCTACTTCAAAGCATTTTTTTAACATAACTAAAGAGCTACATAGCCTTCCAACACCTTTCCACTTATTCAGTGGACTTCAAAATTATTTTTCTACCTCTGCGAAATTACACTTGGTTAAATGTTAAGTCGCACTTATAGTTGGCTTTCTCTCTCTCAAGGTAAGCTACAAAATCAGGGCTTTGTAAAAAGGATAATCTAAAAAACGACTGCGCTCAAAGACGCAGAACAAGGCTTGCCTCTAGGCATAGCAAGAAAACGCCCAGTTCAAATACTCAAAACATCCTAATGGTCATCACAAAGGTAAATTTTATGGTTTCTCCCTCTCAAAGTAACAATTGCAACTACATTCTAATGTTTCAATTAGTGCAAAGAACCAAAGCAAGCAAATTCACATCGTTTCTTGTATTTGTTTGACCAGTTTTATGTACAGTAAGGGCCGTAAAAGACCCTATAAAAGTTTCTGCGGCAACACTTTAACGTTGAGATTTAGACAGTGAGAAGGTTTAATAAGTTTCTGTGCAACAAGGAACCCTAAATCTACAGTATCAGAGTGCCCATACTTCCTGTGTTAACCTACCCAAATGCCACTTCGGTCGCTTTCCAAGTGCCAGCCTCAGGTATGGGATTTTTTTTGAAGGTGTTGTTGGATTAGAATCTCAAATAAAAAAATGAAGGGAAACCATAGCCTTCAGATTGATTACAACCAAACACAAAAACATTGGTTAAAACAAAAATATGTGAATGGAAAAAGAGAAGAGTTAGAAATACAGATGCCACTGGCATTGATTCGAGATAAGGGAATTCTGCAATCAAATGCCCTACAATCAATGCAGACCAGTGTTCATGAAATTTAGACTCAAATACAATACAAATTTTATCCAGCAATCATAAATAAAACCTTGTTTATAACAATGTTTTAAAAGATGGCAAGGGGGGCCTCCAGAAAACACAGGGCTTATATACAAGGGAGGCCTCCTTACTAGAAAAAGAAAAAACATGTATGCATATTTAATGGTTACCACCAATCTTAGTGGTCATTAGATCTATCAATTTAATAATAAAAAAAAAAAACTTTGAAGACATCTTTTGAAAGAAGCAAAAGTTTCAGAATGCCTAAAATCATCTCTGTTGTCAGGAACAGTTAGTGAAGAAAAGACATGTGAGGTTCTCCACTTTAAGGAAAAGAGTTTAAAGAAAACAATACTAGAAATCACAGAAACAACAACAAAACCCTGGAAGCTTTTAGAGTACTTTCTCATTTAATGCAATATGAGCAACAACAAAAATAAAGACTTACTGGATCTTGCTTTATTCGTGGCTGTATTGGGAATGCTTTCACTTGAAGACATAGCACTTCGCTGAAAAAGCAAACATTTAAGAACTGAGCCTTCTAGTGCCTTAGTCACAAGTGTTGGGATATTTATAAATCATGATTTCTACTCCTCCTAAAACCTGTGTGAAGTTGATAGAGCATTATTTTTATGTCTCAGAAGTTTGCCTCATGGTAACAATTCACCTTGAAAGGGGGGATTGAGGTATCAAGACCTATGCTATTTTGTAAATCTTGAAATAAAATGGGATGTTTATAAGAATTTGAGAAACAAGAAATCAAACACAAACAAGGAAAATTTGTCTGCCATTCCATTCTCTTCTGGTAAAAGATCCTTTCCTTCTGTGGAGATTTGGGAGACAAAAGACACAACAATGCCACAAAACATATTTACTGTATACAATAACAAACAGAACTGACCAAAGGTGATGCTGGTTCCTTCACAAGGAAGGAGGATATGGGAGGTGAAATAGATGTGAAGAAGTCCTTTACATTGCCCTCTCCTTGAGCTGTTGCAAAGAAAATCAAACATCAATCGATGCCTTTGTTAGTCCATGACTGGTCAGAGCCTATTTATCACTATCTCAAAAAAATAGACAAGAAAAAATGCAAAAATAAGGCACACAATAAAAAAAGATTACCAGGTACTACAGATGATTAAAGCTAAATAAAATTGCAATGTTTTGGGGATGAATAACATAACAGAGAAATAACGGGAGTGGTCATATGGTTTTTCAAAACTTTCAGTGTGTGATTCCATTTGTACCTCTCTCTGTCCTAGATTGCCCCAAACAAAAGTTACATGCACCAACCCCCTAAAGCTACACTTTACATATAAAATGGCAATTATAGGTGTGTATCAAGAACCTAAGATTGTCAGCAAATTGTGATAGTGACCTTTCAAAGAGCATGAACTGCAATGGGTTGCAACCTAGTTTTCCTTTCAGTAAAAAATTGGCATGTCACAAGCATAATTCTTTCATATACAGGGTATCTTTCCCTCTAAATACTGCCATCCTGAAGAGTAACATAAAAAAAAAACTTAGTTTCGTTTTATGAAACTGCCAACATTTCTGCTGGACTCACTCACCTAACATTTTCATTCTCTTGTTGTCCAGTATCAGATGATAAGCAATCTTCAGTTGGTCATGAGGATCTCCATTTTTTATTGCCCAACGAACATCACTTTCGCTACAGTTTAGTTTCTGCATAAACAATACATTACAATGTATTTGCCAACTTTTGTCACTGAACAAAACCACTCAAAGTTGCAGTTGTGTAATATTCAGTTTACCATGAAGTTAAAAAGTCTCTGACATGAAGTAATTTGAGTAAAAGCATCAACGTGCACATGTGGACCCAGTTTTTCAAAGAGCGGACAAGGCCATCCATCAAGGAAAGTTTTATCAAAGCACACTCAGCACTATCCACCAAAAGGAGATCCACTCAGTGGATACATTATCTATGCTTCGAACAACAGGGGCATAGAGATCTCATGCACTCATCAGTGTAGTCCAAAAAAGAAAGAAAAGGTTATACTAATTGTATAATATAGGTTGGTTACTCAGCATATGGAGTCTGTTAGCAAGCATAAGGTGATCTACACTTCTGATTAGTTCCTACACTCCTGATTACGCCAGTGCAAGTACATCAGTGAAAGAATCCTTTTAATTAAAACTTTCTCAAACGAAATATTCCAAGAAAAGTTACACACCTCACACACTGATGCTACGCACTCCTGGTCTACCATATCACTTTCTAAGCAAGACGATGGGAACAGGTAAACTGGGAGATCCTTTTTGAACCAATCATGATTCCTAAAAGAGAAAAAAAAAACAAACAAATCAAAAACTTGAAATTTTTGTAGAGTAGAATATTCTCTTATGGGCAAACACTATATATGGAATCTACAAAGCAGTAAACCAGGGATTGGTACATGTAGTTGTTCGTTTTAAGGTTATCGCAAATAGATGCATTCTAAGCTCAATGCTGGAATCTTTCCAGGACTCATCGGCTCTTAGAATACAAGCTTTTTCCTATTCACCTGGACCTGCACTAGTATTTTATGTAAACAAGTCACGATTATAGGAAAAATAAAATAAATGGGATTCAGCTGTAGACATTCAACAAAGTGGCCTTGCTTGTTCATTGCTTTTCAGGTTTAAATTTGATGTTAGATTGTTGGTTCTTGTGGAAGGAGGATAATGAGAGGACCCAAAGAAAACAACCCTGAGCAAGGATGGGAACCAACATGTCAAACCAAGCTTGGGAAATGAACCTAGACCACAGCAGTGGGAGGCCAGAGTTCTCACCACTGCACCATAACGCCTGCCCTAACAGTAAACTTACTTTATTTGCTGCATTGTCGCTCTCTTCATGGGATCAACTTGTAACATTGATGATACCAAACTGCTTGTCTCTGATGACAGATGTGATGGTATATAAAATACACCTCCTACAAAGGGAAAATAGGAAATAGTTAGAGCACAAAATACAGTTTGAAGTAGAGGCAGCTGTAGGCAGCTGTCTGCCTACACACCAACTTTTAAACCAAAGAGTTAGGGTTTGGGAGCTTGCTGGAATAATGTGTCATTTCCTTGGATAAGAAATTTTTCACTCAGAGTATCTCATATCACACCATCATATAAATACAGGAGGAGCCAATGATTATTTAAAATGAAGACTGTCACCAAAATTAATAATGGAAACTACATGTAATACAGTACTTCTTGTAAAGTTTACAAACCTTTAATTTTTTTGAATAGAGTCGGAATATGTTCGTCATCAAAGGGAAGCTGAAAAAAATTATTTTGAGCAAGTAAAGAACTTTTAACTTATGTAAAATTACCATAGCTGTGGTAATAATGTTGTATACAGTAATATCTAAAATGCAAATGCTCTTGATAAAAACAGATTCAGGTTAAAAAGATTGTTGATTATTTTTTACATGTAATTTACTTTCCCAACAAGGACTATAATGTATATGCACATGATCCTTGCAGTAAAGCACTATTTTAAGCAATAGTGAAAATCAGACCTTTTTAAAAAATTCAGGCCTGTACAGGATTTCAACCACTGACCTCTATGATACTAGTGTAGCCCTCTACCAATTGAGCTAACAAGCCAACTAGGAGCAGGCCATCAAAATGGTAGTCAAACCCGCATAAGGAAGAACAAATTTAACCATTCAACTCCCAAGATCTGACTGTCAATTCTCCCTTGTAACTGCTACAAGTATACCTTTCCTTGTAACTTGGTTACAAGAATTTGATGTTCAATCAAGGTTGCAACTTCTACTTGATAGGTTTGAGTATTCTCATTACCTGTTTGCTGGATTATGTATGGATTTTATAGGGAGAAGTTACAGGTTAATCACATCTGGGAGTTGAAGGTTAACTTAATCTGTTTGAAATCATCTCAACATGGATTTCTTTATTATAAACAAAAATTTATACAATAATGATTGACAAAAAGAAATGATTTATACTTACACTTCCACATAAAAGGGCATAAAGAATCACCCCACAGCTCCATATATCTACCTCTGGACCAGCATAAAGTCTGGAAATTTAAATGAAAAAATTTCAGTCACTAACTTAGCATAAATCCTCTACAGCATACTTTTCCATAAATCCAGATTCCAAAATAAAAGTGTTCCTTTCTGATTCAGCTCCCCTAACAACCTTTTTTCAAAAAGAACAAACACTAAGTAATTTCTCTCAATTATTTCAGACTGCAAAAAGAATATGGTTTGATCTATTTTAATCTTCTTATTATTTCACAGAAAAAGTCCTTCACCATGCTGTCTTACTTTCCAGATATGACTTCAGGGGCTGCATAATTTGGTGATCCACAACTTGTTCGGAGGAATTCACCATCTGTCATCATGTTAGATAATCCCAAGTCTGCTATTTTTACATTTGCTTGGGCATCCAGAAGGAGATTCTCAGGTTTAAGGTCCCTTGAAAATGTCACAAAAAAGATACTTTTATTAATCATTGTATTTAGTATTGTTAGTGAAAAAAAAGAAAGTCATCTAGAGCTTGGTGTATGATTCTTGATTCTCCAAAACTTTACTAAAACGCTTTAATGATTACAAAGTCTGGGGCTGTGTGAGAATTTACAGAAGGCATTCAAGACATTTTTGAGAAGGAAAGCAGAATTTCCCCTTCATTACAAAATTGTATATTCAAGTGGTATTGTACATAAACTAAATCACAGCATTTTTGAGGCTTGGTTTTCGTTATGATTTTAGAAACTGAATTGACAACAGCTTTTAAGCACCTAATCTATTGGCAGGTAATAAAGTATTAACAAATCAGAACAGGTATAACAATATTATCAAACCTATATATACAGTATCTAAAAAAAATAACCCTACCTGTGGACTACCATATGTCTATGGCAGTAATCCACTCCAGATATGATTTGCTGGAAAAATCTTCGAGCCTCCTTCTCTTGAAGCTAAAATTAATACACAACCAAAAATCAAAGATGAGTTGAATGCAATTATAATACAAATACTGTATCTAGAATTGGATGATATGAAAATAAAGACAGTCTGGATTTTATCCACCATCTAAATTATTGTGTACTGTATTACAATATATATCATTCAGTCAGGTCGTACTAGTAGCAAGTAGGATAAATATTGTAAGAAATATACAACTTTTTTTAGAGACATGTTTTGGCATGCTTATGCCATCTTCAATCAGTGAGTAACTGAATGTGAGTAATTATATAACAGACAAGTAGATGAATATTATATTTACAGTATGATGTAATACAAAAGCATGAAATTAAAGGTGTGAACTAAAAATGCTAGAAAAATGTTAAAATGCTAGAAAAATGTTACAATGCTGTAATTGTTTGTCAAGTTCAGGTTTGATCTTATTTTTTAATAACCTTCTTTAAGTTTTAAATCAATTGAGTTGTTGGCAGAATCCAGAATACTAAAGCAAGAAAAGGAGTATTTGTTCTTACAAGGAGATGATTGTGTTAAAATGCTTAAAAATATGCGAGTTTTTATTCTATATATTCTACAGTATATATAATTATATATACAGAACAATCAATCCTTTGCTTCCTGATATCAGTATGCATTTTCTCCATACTGTTCCTTTTACATTTCCTAAGGTCAGTGCTTGACACTAACTTTTCAACTGACTAGCCAAGTGGCTAGTGACATCTTAGATGTCATGGCAACTTCAGTTTGTTTACTAGCCAAACCGGCTGGAGGAAATCAAGAACCACTAACCAAAATTGAATTTCCACTAGTCTGCGGCTAGTGGGCTACGGTTAGTGCCGAGCCCTGTAAAGTGCTGACAAAGAGGATTTACTTAGTAATCAAGAACTTTTTTAACAGTTAGTTTTGACTTAAACATCTGATTGAGGGCTGACAGTGAAAGGAGAAAATAGGTGTTGGTAACTCCAAACAACTGTGGCCAAATTAAGGAAACCAGAAAGAGGAAGAGGTGCTTCAGCTAAATTTGAGGTGGGGTGTGCAGATGAGGCATTAAGATCTTGACTCAAATCCTGTCAGCAGAAATACAATGCAACATCTTTAGCTGTGCACTTCGGTTTGTAAAAGATCCATAAACAGTACACTACCTTTCCATGTTTAAGGATGTAGTCAAACAATTCTCCTCCAGATACATATTCCATTACCATAAATATATCAGATGGAGTACTGATCACTTGATATCTACAGAAAAAATTAAATCATTAAGTTATAGATATCCGTTAGTACTGATAGTTGTGTTATGTAAAAATATGGTTCAAATATTTATTTGGTTTTGGTTTTTGGAACAGGTTAGATTTTTCTCCTTTTCTGACTTGAAATCATTACTGTCATAAGAAAAAATCAAACTGGTATGAAAAATTTAAATAGGAGGAACATCTTTGCCATGAATACTCTAGTAATGAGCTCCTCTTCAGGCAACAATCAACACTGACTAGATAAAAGGAAGGAAATGAAACAATGGAGTCAGAATATGCTTGAAACCAGCAGCAGAAAACCTGCTCAGACTGCTGAAATAAAATGCTACAAATGTACTTTAAAAACCCTTTAATTCCCATGAGTGACCAAGACAGGATTTCTCCTTACAATAACGATACAATATCAAGCAGACAAGTGATGAGAATCAGAAAAATACCAAATATGGGATTATTAGATGATCCAATACCAAATTCTCCAAACCAACATCATAAGAATTGTATGGAAGAAACTAAGGACAAATACTAATGAGATCTTGGGAGTCAAAGATCCAGCTGCAGCACACTCTTGCCAGTCCACATGAAAATGACTGCTGACCAGACAAGCCTGCCTAACAACAGGCTTATCAAGGAAAAAAAAAACACTTCTGTTAAATTGTCTCATCATGAATTCTTAGTCTTTTTCTCAAGCTTTTTCTTAGTTTGTTATTTTATGTGCATCTATTTTGTTTTTTAAATTTGCTTGTTTGTTCTTATATCTTTACTTTATAAATACTAAAATTGACTTACAATTTTATGATATGAGGATGTCTAAAGAGTTTTAAGTTTTGAATCTCCCTCCTTATTTTGCCGACAACATCAAGATTCTTGATCTTCTGTCTGTTTAGGATTTTCACAGCTACTTTGTGGCCTGTCAGCTGATGAACTGCCACTAAAATTAAAGCAAAAATTACTAATAATTATCAACATAATTAAATTCTTTTGCAGGATGCAGACGTGAAATCTGGTAATGACCTTGTAATCTGTGGCTCACTGAGAGAACATCAGAGTTCAAAATTCAAAGGACCAGGGTTCAAAAGAGCTCTTTAGCTCCCACATGTATGTTTTGTTTCTCGCTTTCAGGTCTCAAGGGAATTATCAGCTTTATCCTTTGCAAATTATGCAAACATCTGCATGTGACCCACAGGAAATTTGAGAGAAACAGTTTGCTGCAGTATAAGTGAACAAAACATACAAGCTAGATAGGTCTGTTCCCAAAAAAACTCAAGATTTTTTAAAGCACCTTTATTCATTCCCATAACAAGATCAAAATTAACCATTTTTCCTCTTGTAATCATACACGTAATTTATTGTTTACTGCATGTATATCTCCATGAATTGATCTAAACCCACAAAAGAGATTATGAGCAATAACAAAATTAAGTGTGTATTAGCTTAGTCATTAATGCTTCCACGAAAACAACAGCGTGAGCTTCCGAATTTGGTCGAAGCGAGATGAAACGAATATGCCTGGTCAAAGTCCACAAACTTTGGATCTTCATGATACAAAAAAATGCCCCCAAAGATATTTCATTGTTGTTTAGAGGCAAAACAAATCTTAATCTAATAAATATGTGAAATTTTAGACAAGTATACAGAAAATAATTTGGAAAGAATTCTCATGAATAAATTCTGGGGGATTTGAAAACTAGTCCAATACAAATAATTACACACAAATCGTAAACAATATTAACACGCACACCCTGATGGAATATTAAAAGTTATCTTTCGATTTTACTTTTCACTAACATTTTGGCGATTCTTAAAACTGGCTTAGTGGTAATACAGTAACCGTCTTCAAGAGCAGCTGTAAATGGTTGCGAATTTAACGCATTTATGACATCGTTTCACCGGTTGTAGAATACTCCGCGTGTGACACTAGTGAATGCAAATGACTGTAAACGTGGATCGAAACACGAACGACCACTGTTTCACCTTTAAACCCACAAAAAAAAACCTGGAAAACAGCTGTCAGTACTTACATTTTACTTTTCCAAACGTTCCAACACCCAAAGTTGTTCCAAGCACATAATTTCCGATACATAATTTCGCGTTGATAGTCTGATCTCTGCGCTCTTTGGCCGCCATGTTTGGGTAAGGAATCACGTGGTCCACCGCTTTCCTTCGGCGTCCAACAAGGAACCGAGGCATTGTGGTCTAGAATAAAAGTTACCCTCAGCCTAGAGAGCATAAAAATTATGGCGAATACCGTTAAAGGCGTGAAACTTCAGTGGAATTTATCCGCAGAAGAAATCCTGAAACGAACGGATGAGCTGATTGAGCAATCGAGGAAAGTTTACGATGCTGTTGGTGCGTTAAACCCGGACGATGTGACGTATGAAAACTGTTTGAAGGCAAGTGAACTTTTTGATCGTTCCTTCCTGAACCGACCCCCTTGACAATTATTCCACGAGTGTTTCACGTGCGTTATCTGCGATGGTCAATGATTTTCTTTCCGTCGAGATGTTCACGATCAACTGAACCTTTTGTTAAAATTTCACAATAAAGGAGAGTTTTGACGGATAAGATTGACGATGTGCCCATGAAACTGACTTGATTTTGTCTGCTGCTACACTTTCGTCTACCAACACGTCACGCTTCAGTGCTCTGATCAAACTCTGGAAAAATAAATCGCAGTAGACTAGATATAGTTTAAGACGGAAATATCGAATTTCTAAGTCCTAACTCCAAAAAATAATATTAAAATTAAAAAATAGAATAATGAAATTATGCTAATTAAAAAGGTGAACCGACTTGCCCAAAAAAATGCGATGAAATACAAAGGTTTCTCATTTTTAACCAAATCGATCAGATGGCATTTTACTATATTTAGGATTTCGTAAGAGAGTGTGAACATTGCATCAATGGAATGACAAATAAGTGTATCAGCACGTGAAGAGCGTGCTTTAAAAATTCACGGAACGAGTTTTGTTCACAAAATCGTCATAATTTAAGGGATTGTGTTTTACCTCTACATGCACTTTCTACTAATTTGGGTGCATATTTACAATCAAACATTGTATTCTCCCTTTTGGCTCTGAGGCATTCAACTTCTAAAAGCATTAACACATCACTAATGCTAAAATGATCTAACAGAAATACACCTAAGGAAAAAAGGCAGAGAAAATATCTTTCTTCTTGATAGCTTTCTCCATCTCTTCCTTGATATCTTCATGGTAAAAGAACAGGCTGTATACTTTATTTAACATTTTCACTCCCAGGGTTGATGACCAAAAAGGAATTTCTCCCAACGATATATATACATTTTTGTATAGAAGGTGATGAGAAGAAAGATAATTATCAACTAAAGGATATCTTTTGATTTGACAACAAAATCTTCTTAAAGCGTAAATTCTACTTTGTTGACAATGTTTAGAATTGACTTTTAAATCAAAAAGGTGATGGGGGTTTATTCTCTAATTCAACAGCATCATAGGAAAACATTTGCATCTAGTCCTTAGGCCTAATGATATATTTTTGTGCATTAATATTTCCCCAGGCCTTGTCTGATGGCAGTGCTGAATATCATACAGCAAAGTCAAACTTGGACTTCCCCCAGCATGTTTCCACAGGTATTGCACACTGATAAGAACACCAAAGTCCAACACCTCTTTCCTCAGGTGGTTCAAAAATTTTTGTTATTTGTAGATACCAAATTCTTTTGATTGTTGCTTTCAAACTTTTTCACTAGTTTTTTACATAAGAAATGGTATTTAATAAGTTTTTTGAGTAGTTAAGGTGGCTCTGAACCATGTAATGAAGAAAGACAAATCAAAAATAGTAATTGTCTTCTCCCCCATCCCTTCTTCTTCTGTCATGGTGTTTACAGCACCAGAATACCAAATATTAGGTTTTCAATAAATTGATTTAAAATTTTTTTTCATTGAATACTTGTAGATAAAGAGATCAGAACAGCCAGTACTGAGGCTGACAGAAAACTTTCAGAATTTGAGGTGGAAGTCAGGTATTTCAAACTGTTTTGTTTACAATAATGACCATTTTAATTAATTCCACCTGCAGTTTTCTAAATTTAGGCATTGTTAAAAAATAGAACAAAAGGATGAAGTCAAGACTCGCTTTTTGGTGCTCATGACAAGTTCTTTGTGGTTACAAGTTTTTCTGCTGATTTTTTCTTATTTAAACTTGTTATGGATACCTGGATCGATCTTGGTAATTAATGAATTTATGTATAGATGAGTAAGATGTTTTGTCCATGGAGTCCATTTGATTTTAATTCTTACACACATTATTCCATTTTATTATTGTTCACAGCATGCGGAAGGATGTCTTTGACAACCTGGTTGCTTTTCAGGTAATTAAAAATTGATATATCTGATGACACTAAATGGAACATGATGTTGGTGACTGCCAATAGAGGGCAAGAAGGGGCGGGGAAATCCTTGTCCCACTTTATGTACAAATTTTAAAAAAACTTCACTCATTAGGTGTATTTAAATCAGTATTTCAGGAATAACATATTTAAAAGAGACATATTACCCTAGCTACCTTACTATAGAGTTCCTGCATCACATCGTAATTTTGGGCTTATTGATGATACATTACTTATGAATGCTTTGCCATCTTAATGGTGAAGGTTAAGAATCCGATCCTACCGACACATCAGCCAACACACACACACACACCACTGTCAGCAGATGCAGTAGCCAACGTGTTGGCCGATGCGTTGGCCAATGCACTGGTAGGATTGGATTCTTTATCTTTACGACTTTAATGATATGGCGTAGTGCTAGCATGAGTAAGTCAGGGTTGAACTATGAAACTCTTACAACAACTGTAAATTTCCATCGAAGCAGTTTGAACAATTATAACATTCACAGGGAAACAGGTTTTGTCATTGGTGTCTTGTTCATCTTGCTTGCTTATTACAAGTTTATAGTGCTGATTATGAACATCTGATAATGATTTATTTTACACAGGAAAGACACAAGGCACCATTGTTTCGAGAAGCTGGATGTGTTTTGGAGAGGTTAATAAAACTTGGAAAAAGAAATGGTATGTGATTACATGATGATATGTCATCATGCTATTTGTGTAGAGACAATGTTGCCCATGTTAGTACTTCATCAGTTAAGCTCACTTTGAGCTTGTTCCTGTTGAAAATTGTGTAGAGTACGTTCATGAGTATTTTTCAATGAAGAAGAGATACAATCTACGATGTAACACCATTTTGTTTCCATGTTATGGCTGTAGGGTCGATTAGTTAAACCAGCCAAGATAATTTTTCTGTGACAGACCCAGCTGAGCCTGTGGCGTCTCTGTGCCACCTTTTTTTTGTTCATACCTTATTTTGACCTGTGATCCATTATTGAACGCTGAAACGCATGGCAACATGGACTTTTATCACAGGGCTCTTAAATGCAACCCTTAATAATTAAAAAGCACAGTGTACGTAGCAGTTATTACTAACTGAGGTTAGAAATCAGTATACCATTGAGCACAAGAAAAAGTGTCCTGTTGAAGGAATGACAGCAAAGTCAAACCTGGACTTTCCCTAACATGTCTGTACATCTATTAAACACATATCACAGCATCAAAGTCCAAAAAAATATGCCAAAAAAAAAGATTGTGCAATTTGTGCAATATTTATGACATGACAGCTTGACCACTTTTTCTCTGATACTTTCTGAGGTGGCAACTAAACATACAGTCATGTGNTTTTACTGTATTAAAGCGAGGGATTCTAAAATCTGCATTTCTTAGAGAATTTCTTCTATCGCAGTTATTATACATGGTATTAAACTTTTTTGTATTATCCCACAGGTCTTCATTTACCAGCAGATGTTCAAACAGAAATCAAATCTATAAAGACAAAGATGAGTGGTCTATGCATTGACTTTAACAAGAACCTGAATGAGGAGAACACAATACTGGAATTTACAAAGGAAGAGTTAGGTATACGTGTGATGTATTATTAACCCTTTTGCTCCCAAGATCTGATCGTAAATTCTCCCGTCTAGCTGCTACACTTAACCTGCTAAATAATTAGTTACAAGAATTTGGTGTTAGTTCAAGCTAAAAACTTATACCTGATAAGTTTGAGTATTCTCATTATCTGTTTGTTGTGTAATGTGTGGATATTAGTGGGAGAAGTTACAGGTTGATCACTTTTGGGTGCATGCATTTCCTTGTCATTCTTTTACCTCCTAGAAGTGATCAACAAAAACAAGTTTTGGTCAGAATAACCATGCAGAAAACAGTGTTAATAGCTTTGTCCCATTATATTTTTCTGCCTTTATCTTATGTGTATTAATTTTGTAACTTTATTCAACCAATATTGTTTTTATTCCTATTTTTGTCAATCTTGACTATGATTCAATCATGAGATCTGATTTTCCAGTAATTTTTGGTCATAAATATTGTCTTTTTCATTTCTTTTTTCCAGTTGGTTTGCCTGAAGATTTTATAAGCAGCTTAGAAAAGGTAATTTGTCACTTAGATATTGATATTATTATTGGTAACTTCATAACTTCTGTACAGTAGTGCAAAATCTCTTCAACACAGGTGCCATGGGAAACACCAGTTGGGGTCAACAAAGAATACCAGTAAATATAAACCATGTTACTTAAAAAGTGCAAATATTCTCAACCCATCACCCCCTCTTTGAAAAAGGTCAGCCACAACCCTTCCCCCGCTCCCCGGGTCTTCACAGCATCAACCTAAGGGTGGTTTTGTGGAGATTATACAGGTGTATATACTGAGGATACTTTAAATTACATCATGAAAATTTCAGCAACTTTATGTGCAAGTTGCTAACAACAATGGAAAATCAATGTGGCTGTGATCAGAAAAGGTTTCACATTATGCCCTGGTAGATCACCATTGGCCAGTTTTGATGATACCCTTGATATCAGTGATGCAGATATCTTTTGATTTACCAATTTAGAACATTAATCTTATTTTTCAGACAGATGCAGGCTTGCACAAAGTTACTCTTAAGTACCCCCATTATTTTCCAATCATGAGGAAAGCATCCAATCCACACACCAGACAGAAAATTGAATATGCATTTAACAGGAGGTACATTTAAGATTTAACTGTTTAGACTTTGCCAATATGGAGATGCATCCATCTCACAAGTTTTCCATGAATTGTCTTTTAACCCTTAAACTGCCAGAAGTGAATGACATGTAACTTCTCCTTATAATATCCTTTCATTATCCAGCAAACAGGTACTGAGAATACTCACACTTATCAGGTAGAGTTTTTCAGAGGTACATTCAGGATTTAACTGTGCAGACCTTGCTTATATGGAGATGCAACATTCCATCTCACATGTTTTAAATGTCTTTTAACACTCTTACTCCCAGAAGTGATTAGCGTTTAAGTTCTCTCTATAATATTCATACACTATCCAACAACCAAGTAATGAGAATACTCGAACATATCAGCTAGAAGTTTTAAGCTACAGTTGATCTAACACCAAATTGTCATAACTAGTTTAGAAAGAAATGTCTTTCAGTTAGAGGGGAGAATTAAAAATCAGATCTTGGATGTAAGAGGGTTAAATGAAAGTTAGCAACATGATTACTTCATTACCATTTATTAGCCTTGAACATAAACTTTACTTTGCATTACTATATAATTGTTCTCACTCGGTTACTCATTGACTGAAGATGGCATATGCATGCCAAAACATGTCTTTCAAAAAGGTTGTATATTTCTTGCAAGATTAAAAGAAAAATCATGAATGTCTACCAGTAATTTAATAAAGGCTGAAAGTTTCTAAAGAAACTGTGGTGCTGCGTCGGTGGGGGTAACTGAAGATAAATTGGTTATATCAACTAAGTTAGCCACCGTAATGCATAAAATAGCTTTTTTATTCATTACGGTGGCCAATTTATAATTTCAACTTAGTTGATATAACCAATTACCAGTAATTGATGCTTAGACTGAGGTATTATGAGTTTCATTCACTTTGTGATGTTATTGTTGCAGATGTATACAAGAAAACACTCCAATTTTTGAAGAACTGGTGGAACTAAGACAAAAGGTGTGAGGAATTTTAGTATCTTAATCCAATCCTCACACATGATAGAAATAATTGTTGGAAATATTATTTTGTAGATGGCAGATCTTCTTGATTATCCAACACATGCAAGCTACATCACAGAGGTAAATTGAAATAGTTTTTTTTCCTGTGCACCTTTATCCAGTTGGCCAACACATCTGCCACCACTCTAGGCATACACCTCTGACACACTACAAACATGTTGGTGACATCAACCAACGCATTGGCCTACACCTGGACTGACGTGCTACCAACAGGTTGGCTGACACACTACTTAGAGTTCCTTGTGTGTCAGCCGACACATTGGCATTGTCTTGGCTTATGCNGTTTCATTAACTATACTGCCAGTTTTCGTCAACTATCGATAGATTTACGGTTAGGTTTCGTCAGTCTTCGTTGCGTTTCATTAACTATACTGCCAGTTTTCGTCAACTGTCGATAGATATACCGTTAGGTTTCGTCAGTCTTCGTCAAATTTCGATTTCTATAAAAAAAGAAAAGGAAAGTGTCTTGTGGTGTTGAAAGCGTCTAATACGAATTTTATTTTCGCAGGATGCTTCCATCATGCTGAAAAACTTTCTTGGTCGTGAACCCAACCAGGAGGCTTTCCTTGAGAGCAAAGGACTCAAGAAATAGCAATATTGGAATTCAGTTGTTCAAAACACTCGCACTAAATTGCTACACTTTGTTGCCAGTAAAAAGTACACATCAATCATACTTGAAAGTTAGTTACTGCATCAAATGCGTATTTATTCTTTCTACCGTAAGCTGTCGTTACATCAGATCAGTTTACAATTGCTGCCCTGCAGTTCAGTGGCAGCTAATCAGTTGCTTAATTTAAATTTTCAATTTAAAAATCTAACGTTATGGAGTTAGGTTACAGAGTTATGTGTTAAAATTACATCGTATCAAGTGGTCTTGCTATTTTGTGAAACTTAACTCGTCGAGGTAACTCTGTGGCGTAGCTCTCTAACATAATTTAGAATTGAAAATTCCAATTATCTCGAATTAATGTGGGAAGATTTTTACGTAAATTTCAGTGTGACGCTGACGATCTAAGTGAAAGACAAGTACCTTCCTAAGTTATTATTGTCTTCTCTGTGTTTTTCTATCTCACCAAACTAATATTTTGTAGCCATTTAAAATCCTTGTAAATCTTCTCCATCTCTGGCCATGGTTATTCAGTTCTTTCCAGGTTATTATTGTCTCTTTTCTGTTGTTGTCTCTTACAGTAACAAGATAATTATTTGTAGTCATTTTCAACCTGTCTCAATCTTCCGCATCCGTTTTTATCTTTGTTCCTTTCTGCTTTGTCCTTACCACTTTTGTGTTTGTCTTCACTGGTAAATGATTATTTTTACTCAATTGTGCGATATTCCTTAAATTAAAGGTGGAGACATTTTTCCATGAGTTTGGCCACGTGATGCATCAGTTATGCGCTAAAGCAGATTTTGCAATTTTCAGGTAATTATTTCGATGTTTTAATCAATATTTTCATGCAAATAAGGGTATGCGCCATCCCCCGCCCCACCCCCATGTAAGCCCTGAAACTTACAGCCTTCCCGGAGGGGTTTATAGCGTTGCGTTCAGCTTTAGCCAAAATCTTACGGTATAGTGTCCTCTATCACACCTACAGTGGTACAAATGTGGAGAGAGACTTTGTCGAAGCTCCTTCTCAGATGTTGGAGAACTGGTGCTCGGAAAAAGAACCTCTTCATCGCATGTCAGCCCATTACAAAGGTATGTTGAAAGACTTTGAATACAAAACTCGTTACTATAGGTCAAAATCAGAAAACAGTGAGAACAAAAACAGAATGTGTCAACTACTAAAGAGACCAGAGGATTGTTGCTCATGCTGGGTTTTAATGTTTTCCTAAGAAAGTGAAATATTCTGTTGCAGATTCCAGTTCTGTTCCAGACGAAATGCTTGACAAACTCATAGCGTCTCGTAATGCGAACACCGGCGTGTTTAATTTAAGACAAGTGAGTGACAATAAATTTTAGTGCCATTACAGTCTCTCTTTAGGACTCTTGCATGTGACAGTGGAAGGCTTTTGTAATTGATAATTTACGGCGAGAACTATTGGTAATATCGTGGTTAACCTTGGACATCCTTCTTTTTTTATTTCCGATTTATTTCAGATTTTGTTGGCAACATTTGATCAAACAATTCATACTCAACCTAAGGTACAGTTTCATCCTTTTTTAACCTAATGGCNTGTAGAGTAAATTATATCCTTTTTTACAAACTTTGGCTGGATTTGCTTGTTTGTTTGTTTTTGTTTTTGGAAATTGGCCGTTAGCTAGATTTCTTGCTAGTTGCGCAGGCATAAATTGACAACATAACACTTACTGTTTCTTTGTGAAATGTTTGGCTGCATTTGGATTTTTGACAGTGGAAGATTAGACGCGGAAACAATTTCTTCTAAGTGCGACTCAATGAACGGTGGTGAGCTTTAAGACCAACTTTATCGAAAATAATGTGGCGTTGCTTCCTTTTTGCTTTGCTTAGTGCTCTGATTAGTTTCGAAAACTGCGCCTTCCTTTCAAACAACCAGATGAAAGAAAACTTCATCATGCATCACGGTTGAGTCGTTCGCGTTTTCGCGCGCGTTTCAGGCAACTTGCTTGATTTTACTGTAAGTTCTCAGCAGGCCCTCATGATACCCTCCCTTCCCTGGTTTTGGTCCTACAATTTTGACACAATCAAAATGAGCTTTAATGCTAATTTATCGCACCCTTCTAACCCCACCCTTGACCATTTAACTCCCCTATATGTTAATTCTCCCCTTTTCCTGCCGCACATTTCCTTGTAAATTGGTCAAGAGAATCTGCTGTTAAATCAAGATGACTGCTTCTGCCCGATAACTTTGAGTATTCTAAAAACCTGTTTGCAGGATAATGTATGGATATTATGAGGAGAAATTACATGTGTTATCATTTCTACTGGGAGTTAAAAGAGTTTAGTACAGCGGATACTTTACACGCTGTGTCATGTTTGAAGCATTAAGATACCCCGGCACCTCGAGAATCCCGCTAAAGGCAGACACATTTGCACAAGCAAAACCCTGGCTATTATGGACCTACTGATGAACTCGTTCATACCCTTAGACATGTAGGAGAGTATTTTTTTAAGAGATCGCAGGTAGATTTTGCGTCGGACAAAGTTATATCACAAGCCGAATGCGACGTCATTGTGGACATTTGAAGTACACGGATTATACAGCATTCTAGTTCCCAGGCCCTCTGTCCTCATTCCTCGAAAAGAAACTTTTGCAAGAAAGGAAGAGAGATGATCCTGGGAACGAGGTTGGGGTTAAGGGCACCACATGAATGTTTACGCATCTTTAGCAATTTTCTTAAGTGTTTGAAAAATTTGGCAGTTTTAGATCAAGTGTAGTCTTCCATCCTTAGCAAAGAGCTATCCCTGTTCCTTCTTTTTATATCATGATCGTCGTTATATTTGTGTTTTTCTATCATAAAATACCAATACTTTGGAGTCTTTCAGGTTGAAGGAGAATTGAAGCTTGCCACAGCGCATCTCCGGGAAAATGCGCCTCTAATTCTGAGCTACTCTATTTAAGGTCGCGCGGGGTCTGTGCTTGAGAATTGACGCACAAATAATTGTTTACCAGATTCCCTCAGTCTTGTGTCGTTTACGGCTTTGTAAAGGGCATGTCGCAATTGCGATGTTTTTGATCAGTGAGAGTTTCTTTAATGGCGATGAAGAGATATGTACTGGCCCAGATCGTGATCACTACACTGTTTATCACTGCTACCAGAATGTGTCTTTTCCACGCTTTCTGCCAAACCGCCATTATCGGCATGTTTTGGTAGCGAGTTTCAATCGTGATAGATAAACTGGTGAAAAACCACTCAATAGCCAGTGGGACTGATGTGCTGATGGCAAACGACTGAAGAAGTTGGAGTGGGGGGTCGTCACTGGCGTAAAAATGCTCATAAAAGTAGAGGAAACCATTGACAGAGATAATAGCGATTGACTCATAGAACATGCTCATAATGGCAATATCCGCTGCCAGTCTTTCGCGGCGAGGCGTGCGAAATCCTCCCCATGGAACCCTCCTCTTTTCCAAAACCTGGTGGCATAGATGATCCATAAAAACCATGGTGCTGCGTTCGATGACTTCTGCGATGCCATGAATCACTCCAATCACCACAACGAACTTGAATTTCTTATTCAGACCTAAATCCAGCTGTAAAAGTCTCAGCATCACCGCTGACCCCAGGTAAAGCGGCACCAACAGCACGAATGAAGTTCCCGGATGACTGATACGCGACAACCGCTGGATGCATACGCGGGAGACGCCTTTGACAAAGACTGTGATGAGAGGGGTGAATATGGCGATGACGATTTTTCCTGATCTGTGCTCTTTGTTGAATGCAGGATAAATAAAATACGCAATCAAAACGGCAGTGATATAGGACAGTACAACAGGCGTTGTTAAAATAAAAAGCAATTTCAATTGTGTCTTTCTGGGGCCTCCGCAAAAGCGCTTCACAATAACACAACTTTGCAGGTAAACATTTAGACAAAATAGCACTACTAACGGCACTTTTTGCTTAGGTGTCAACTTTGTGTGAGTGATTCCAAACGCCTGAAAGCAAATTCTATAAATCACATCTACCGTATAAAATGCCAGACATAAAAGGCACAGTTTCAGCTTAATTCCAAAAACTTGAAACGGCCGGAAGTAAAAAAGACAATTAAGAAAAAACCAGTAGAAATTCAAGGAACAAATCATGACTTCTGATATGGTACGCATCCATTGCAGTTTTTCCGGGATAAACTTTATGGAATAACTTTCACATTTAAGTAGTGTTTGATAACTGAGGTAGTAAATAACAATTGAAACTGACCCAACGATGATCGCACCGAAGATTGAAATTAAGAAACCAAAATAAAATGATTTCCAAAGTGAACTCAACAACGGTGGTCTCAATCTCTTCCAAGCCATTCCTCGATCCTCAAGCGGTTCATGATATGGGTCTTCGTCACTTTCTGCTGCAATGGCGTTTAACAGCCGGGCATCTGTTCGACCTGAGCTTAAGTAGTCGAGAGTTGTTACGTTTTTGTTGCTGTATTCTTGGTAAATGATCTCTCCGTCAATTGGATGACTGTACCACTCCAAGCCCGTATCGTTCAAGGGATCGTACTCAAATAAATGAGCGCTTTCTTCCACCTCGTTGAAATCGTAATGCTCTGCTACACTTCGAGTGAAACAGTACACCACATGACCAATGAACTCTACAACAGTTTGAAAATACATTTTTCTGAAAATCTCTTGTAACGACCGGATGATTGCGAAGTTTGATTTGACTTTGCCACACAGTGGAGTTCCCCCTGTACCCTCATGAACTCCTGATCAACAACTCACTTTACTGCAACCCTACTCAACCATCGATTATTTGCATTTAGAACTAAAACTGAAATCAGGTATGAACTAATGACCCACATGAAGTTGTCCCTTAATCTGGGTGACAAAAGAAATGAAACCCAAGGGTCGCAACCAGTTAAAAAAAGGGGCTTTCTGAGAAAATAGAAGGCATAAAGTATGTAGTTAAAATTAAAATTTGAGAAACGATTTCTCATAACAATACCAAACTTGGAGTTATAATTTTAGACTTCTCCGTTTTCGCAGAAAGGATAAATGAAGCATGACGCCGGAGGCTAAAGGCAGACGTTTGTCTTTCCGTCTCCTTCACGTGAGTTAACTTGTTTCATTTACTAATCAGGCATTTGTTTACTCTTTATATGGTTTGATAAGGGAATTATACAACAAGCCACCGAAGTGCGGGTGGTCATTTTCACTATTGTCGTAACCAACGCAATCATGTCTTGCTGAGTTTTTTTCAATTTCGTGCAGTTAGTTTAATTTATTTCCTACCAAACACGTTTCTCAGAAGGCTGACAAGGCGTCAGTTAATTTGTCGACGACGTACTTTGTAATGGAAGGGGAAATAATTTCTCACGTCGCCCGAGGAATTTTATCAGAAGTTTCCGAGTCAGAGAGCGGACACATAAGACAGCTCTTGACATATACTTTCTTTTAATGTTTTAAACCCTAACTCGTGCAGTTATCATTCTTAATCAGTATAGTGAGAAAACTAATAAATAAAGGTGACTGATTATTGAAAGCTTAAAAAGCCTCTATCTCAAAAAAAAAAAAAATATATATATATATATATATCAGTTTCGCAACGCTAGACGGTTCGTTCAGAAATCTGTTGTTTGCGACCACAGAGCTGTTCATCGGGATTTGCTACCACGATTAGCATTTGGAAACCGAAATTATCCTCTGAAAAAAAAAACAATGCTTTGTTCTCTTCACTCTAAAGGTTTACTATTCATTTACGAAAGTTAGAAGTCAAAAATTTAATGTTTACATACATACTCTGGAAGGTACCTCAAAACAAAACAGGTCATCTCGGAAATAACGAGGGGCTTCGACAAATCTTAGGCCCACCTTCGGCGGTTCACTCGCAAATGTCAACTTCGAGTTCACAGAGCCAAATGAGAGAAAAAAAATTAAATAATTACTTTGACGTCAGATTTGCTGTGATTGACCACTGACCTTGGAATAGCACGACAACACGCCACTGAAAATTTCTCCACCTAGCTAATGATGTCAGAAGTTAGAAGACCCGACTTACACTCATTATCGATCGCATACAACTTAAAAACTGGTCACAACTCACTCACGAAATTATTTCCACATTCCATTTAAGTCAAAGCCTCTATGTACACACCAAACAGTAACAAAATGGCACAAAACTTTGTTGTCGATGTGGCACTTGAATGTCCTTTCACCAGTATGTGACCGAGTGTAACCTGGGCACCTAGCTTGGCCTTTCTCGACCCAGTTCTCCCCTTGCAGCTGCAGGTGATTACATTTCTAACAAGTCATTCATTCTCTTGCCTCTGTTCTTCTCCTTCACCCTGTTGTACTTGTGAAGCAGTAATGGCCTGAATTTGTCCCAGCAGTTGTTGAACATCTGGTTGGTTGGGATCAATCGCGACGTACACAGCGTTATTGTCAACTAGCGGTACACCATCTTCTGATGTCACTGGAACAGCGGTACTCTCTTGCAGCACATGCTCCGTGACCATCTGAAAAATAAATTGACGAGAGTAAAGTCATTCTGTACTATTAAAACACGCATCCGCACTCGTGATTCGCTCGCGCCCATTAACAAAATGGCGGAGTCCGCCATAGATGTGGACAGTATTTATTTTTCTCGAAAACGTTTACAGCAAACCTTACTTAAACCAACAACTTCGCTTCGTATATTTTCCACAGGTAATTCGCGCGCGCGCCCAAGAACAAATTGCTTAGCTACTCAGTGAAGTGAACATTAAGTTCTTTTTTGGGGATCGGAAACAACCTTTGAAACTGTGAGTTGGCGCGACCTTTTCGCACTCTGTAATGCTGTGGCACCATCAAGTTTTAGCAGGCCTACGCCGTTAGTTNATCTTGGGAGTGATATGGTTAAGCTAGCAAATTTACCTTGTGAGGCTGTTGTCTCTACATCACAGTGATGCCCAACATTTATCACTGTAGCTTCAATCGTTTCACAACTTATCTGTTGAATCTGTGACATCTGTGACAGCACGTTTGCTGCAGTAGCTTCCTCTTCACTTGACATGGCTGTAACTCTTTCTTGACCATGAAATCACTTTGAAGAGAAGTTAAAGACAGTTTAAAGAATTTAAAGCTATTTTAAGAGTACATAATCATTACTCTAATCAGGGGAACTGGGGAGGATCCAGGATTTAGTCAAGAGGGGTTTGGAGAATTGTTCCCTTTCTGAGGGGTCCAAGATTTTGAAAATTAGGTCTCCAGAAACATGATTTCCAGCGTTCTGAGGGAAAATTTAGGGGGTTCGATCGAACCACCCCTGCATGGATCCACCCCAGGGCAGTAGATAAATTACAAAGGGTATAAAAACTGAAAAGGTTTGGCTTGGAAGGAGAGAGGCAGCTACCACGCTTTTCAACAAACCTTTGCACGGTGAACTCAAAATGACAAAGTTCTAGTTTGAGGCCTACACATAGCTGAGGAAAGACTGTTGTGTCACAGTCTATTGCCAAGTTACTGTAATGCCACAAGACCTCTACTCCTGGCAAGAAAATTTAATAAATTGCGAGAGAGAAGAGCAGAAGTACTCCCATACTCTCCATGTACCTGGTACCTTCATTATGCAAAGACCAGGAAGATTTCTGACAATATATTAGGCCACTCAAAGCAGACGTTTTTCTTTTCAGATTTACACAGTAAAAGACAAAGACCCACTTGAGTTACATACAGCTGTACATATATACCTCTACAGCATTCTTTGGTTGTAGACTCAAAAATATCTATAATGGCTGGGATTAAAGATACACCTGCATAATGCTGCACTGTAAATTTGATTAGCTGAAATCTTTTTCGTTTTTTTTTCATCAGGCTTCTAAAATAAGTTGGGAAAGTTGTTAGAGATTGTTTTTTTTTTCCAAGTACATAAAATTTCAGCAAAAATATTGGCATATGGCACATTTAAAATGTTTATATATTTGATGTAGTGTCAAAATAAGGCATATGTGCATAGTTTTAATAAACTTAATGCCTAGCAGTCAAAAATTAATACAGAGTTTCCACTGAAAGGTTCTTTTAAACTTCTCAATAGTATAAGATGTTTGTTTAAAAATGTAGAGTAATTACAAGAATTTTCTCTTTTTTTGACTTTTTTTGATGTATATTGGTTTTCAACACTTAAAAAAAAAAAAAATTTCTGACCCAGAAGTATCCACAAGTTCTAAAAATTCGTCAACTGAAAAAGTTTTAGAGATCACTTGACATTACCAAACCACTGGACACTTCTTTAGGTTGCCTGAAGTATTCTGTAGGGATTTGGTGAATATTTATAACTACCGGAGCATTTAATCTATTTGAAACTAGTACGCCCAGACACCGGGCATTTAGCCTTAATTTGTAGTTTACTGCATGCAGATGGTTACAAAACTGTGAATAGTTTCACCTGCGATTGGAGACATGCAAAAAAAAAAAATATATATGACAGAGACAAACTTATCAGTCTGAGGGTTCTTTCGTAATATCTCACAAAACTGTCTTTACTATTTATGAGGAAATGTTGACCAGGAACAAGAATGAATATAGATCTCAAAGTTGACAGGTTATATTTACAATTAAAATCCAGTCAAGTTTGTTAGAGAATTGACCATAATTTAAACTTTATTTTCCCCAGTTCCGACACAAGAGTAGAAAACGGATCAAACAATATCCTTCGTTGCCGAACAAACTTTGTAATAAACGGCCTTCTATACATCCCTTTCCTTGTTGCAAAATGCGCGCCATGTTTATGTATAGGATCAACTGATTTTCAATCACCGTTCATCGTTACGAATTCAAAATGTAAACGGAAGAAAATCAGTCGCTGCTTCTGCTGCATACACTTTAAGAGGAAACATCAACAGAACTTTTTATATCGCGGTAGAGGCTGTCATTGATTACACATGTTGCAGGACTACACATAAACGGAAGAAAAAAGCTCATCTTCCCAAACAACAATGTAATGGACAACAGCGCAACACACTGCATCGAAATTCGATGCTTTTCCTCGGAAATTCCCGATAAAATCCGGATTAAATGAAACAGGACAGTCACAAACATCGTTGATGGTTCAAATCCTACCTCCAAAAGGACAGAAAGTAGAAATCTTGCTATGTCGCCGCGCCTTTCCAATGTAAAGCAAAGATGGTGGACGCTAAGCAAGCGTGGTTCCTTTGCGAAAAACCGACTCCTTCCCGAAATGCACCTCAACTTAGTGTCTTCAGGATGGCGGCGTTGGCAAAGCGTCGCATTCAAAGCTAGAAATGGTAAGTTTCGACTCTATTCTTCAGTATTTTGAATAATATTTTATAAAAATCTATCTATTTTATGTTTCCAGCTCGGAATACGTGGTTTCGTTTCACGATCATTAGTTCTGTTCGGTAATCGCATTCCCTTGCGTGGCTTAACTCGCCTACGTCACTGGTTAGCTCGCTAACATGATTGGTCGACTCGCCTACTCCCCGTATCTATTTAACTCGCGTCTTTCAGCGTACTTGTTTGTTTCTTCGGTGACTTTACCGTCATTTACCCGCTCTTTTACCTCTTTTGTGATCACGGAAAAGAAGCGGAAAAGAAGGATCGAAGTCTCTTTACGCGTTCCTCTCGCGATCGGTTTCAAAACGAAGACAAACTTCTGATATCCGGAATTATAGGGATTTACTTATTGAGGTCGTGCGTAATTTTAAACCGCGAAGACAATATTCTGAAGTCAAGGTCTCGTTTTACTCCAGCATCAACTGGCTGTGATTTCCTAGCATGAATACTATAGTAGAAGTAGTTCCTGAGGGTGAAGTAACCTGCTTTGAGTATGAGGTATCCACTCAACTGCTGACTTTAATAGGTAAGTTGTGGAAATCATTTGAATTACATCTGTTTGATTGTGCATCAAATTCAGAATTTCTCTGTATCCTAAGTGTAATCTTGCTTTTTGTTTTCTTTTTTTTCTGCATAAGCAGAGCCTTTTGCAACAGCAGAGACACCTAATCATCTTTCAGATGCCACTGAGCCTAGAGCCACAGAATCTGGTGCCATAACAGACCCACCTACTCATCCATCAGATGCTGCACAGCACATTGCCTCCAAGTCTGACGACTCCAATCTTTAGGCTGAGGCAGAGCCTGCTTTGGAATCAGATCCTTCAGTAGCACAACCTTTTGATCTTTCAGATGCTGCATGGCCTGCCTCGGAGCTATATACACCAACAACACCTCCTACTGATCTTTCTGTAGCAGGGGAACCAGATATCAAGTATTCATTGTGTCAAGTAGACCCAACCACTCCTGTCTTTCCAACACATGTTCCGTTGACCTTCACTCTTGTGGAGAAAGCAACTAAGCGAAGAGGAGATAGACTGATTGACAGCATGGGCTTCTCCTATAACATACGCCGCAAAGGAGCTAAAACAACCTGTTGGCAATGTACCATTAGGAGGAAAGGGTGTTACTGTAAAGCTGGAGTAGTGGAAAGAAATGGTGTCTTCACCTTTGGAAATTTTTCTCATAATCATGAGCCCCCAAAACCAAGAGCCAAAACACCCTCACGGAAGACCAAGACTAAGGCAAAGGTAGTAGTGGAGCAGTTTAAGCCTGAGCCAACCACTACAGATGAGGTATTACACTTCTACTAGTTTAGCTCTTTTTTCATTAACCTCCATGAGTGTACACACTGTAACTAGAATCTAATTTATATCTCAATGCAGTTTCACCACTGAATCAAAAAGTAAGGTCAGGAGAAGAAAGGAAATGATCACCAGTGAAAATAGTTCTTGATTCTTAAACATATTCTTTTTGTCAGTACAAGGCTGTGCTCTAAGGAAGATTGAATGGAGCCCAGTGCTCTGAAACTGTGAAATCCAGGGTGCCCTGCATATGCTTTGTATAAAAAAGACTAAAATTCCTGAGTTGCCCAAGAGCAAAAGTAAGGTGCCAAGGGCCACCAGTCACTGCTAGACCACAGCTTTGCTGTAGTACAGCGGAACCTTGATTTAACGAACCTCTATATAAGGAAGTCCTCGGTATAACAAAGAATACTTCAGTTTCAGCCCAACTGAAGTTTTAGCAAAATGTATGCCACAGAACCTCAATATAACAAACCCTTGATATAACAAACCAAATTCCCCATTCCCTTGGCACTTTATTAAACTGAGGTTCCACTGTATTGGAAATGTGCAGATACCAGTGTGGAGAATATGCACACTGATCTTAGGCTGTAAAGAGTTAATACTTCTCTCTGAAATCTTCTTTTAGCTAGGGCCTCCTCTTAAAATACTTTTATTATAACTTTGTCGTCATCTTTTAAGCACCCTCCCAAGGCACTTCTATCAACAATTCTTTCAACTTTCTTTCTTTCATTCTTTCTTTACTTTTTTTTTCTTTCTTTCTTTTTCCCCATTGTATGTTTATGTAGCCCTATAAAGATTACTTAATTTATCACATTCTTTATTTTCAATGATTTTACTTGACTTTTTGAACAGGTGTTTCAAGAAAATCTCCAGCCTGCTTCTACTGTATTCCAAGCATTGCCTGAACCTTGTGGTAGCATAGAACATTCATTTACAGTAATAAACCGTAATGCCACACAGCTGCTACCTAACAATAACCAGTCTGGTTTAGTTGAATCAGTTATTCAGACTTCACAGTCTACCCCTGTACCTCCAGCAAATGTTCCTTTGACATATCACCTTGTGGAGGAAGCATCCTTGCGGAGAAGGAACAAACTGATTGATAGTAAAGGCTTCTCCTACAATGTTCGTCGTATAAAAGGTGTTAAAACTTACTGGCAATGTAGCGTGAGGCCAAAAGGAAACCACTGCAAAGCCACAGTGCTCGAGCAAGATGGATTGTACACTTTTGGCCAACACCCCCACAACCATGGTACCTATTCAGGAACCCTAACAGCTGCTCAGATTGTGTCCACCATTAAAACAAAGGCATTGGAAGATTTATCAAAACGAGCTTCAGTCATTGTTAGAGAGGTATTTCTTTCAGTCTTTCTATTTCTATGTGTTTATGAGCTTACTATGTCCCAATGTCATCAGCTGGAAGTTACAAGAAGGAGTAAAAAAAATTTCTACTACTGTGGGCATAATCTTAGGGAAAAGACATCACTTATTGCCAGGGGAGGGTGGAGAATTTTGGGGGAATCACATGCTTTTCAGGGAGGATGGAAGGAGGGTCAGTTCTTGGTAGTACTAATGAGGAACTTTACAACTTTGACTACCAATTGACTACTGATGAGAGGACATTCAACAGAGCCTTATGGAGGATTAGGTGTCAAATTTTATCACGACACAACAAATATCCTCTGACCCCCCTCCCTCGGGTGATAAATAATGAATAGTCCCTTAGTCAGGGGCAGGTAACCCCTTACCCCCTGCCTCCCTTCCCCCTACCCC